AAAATGCAAAGATTTCACGAGCTGAAAGTTGGCGATTTTGAGATGCGTCAAGAATTCGCTGCATGGGTTTTCCGGCAAATTGATATTGATGAAAACTGGCTGTCGAATGTTCTGTGGACAGATGATGCTCACTTTTCTCTAAACGGAGAATTTAACATTCAAAGCAGCCGCATTTGGGCAACAGAAAACCCTAGGATTTTCACAGAAATGCCACTTTACCAGCCTAGAGTTACAGTTTTGTGTGGGTTCACTTCTTTTATTATTGGGTCATTTTTCTTTGAAAAATCAATGGAAGAACTTTTAAAACCGTTTTTGTAACTGGTGAACGTTATGAGAAAAGGGTATTCCCATATTGCAGGGTAAAAGCACTAAGCGAAATAACATTCATGAAAGATGGAGGACCTCCTCATCTCTCCCGAGGTGCCAAACAATTGCTGAAGGATACGTTCGGTGAAAATCGTGTGATAGGTCGCCACTTTATATACCAGTGGCCTCCAAGATCAACAGACTTGACGCCTTGCGATTTTTGTTTATGGGGATACATTAAATCGTGTGTTTATCGATGCTGGCCTACCACATTGGCCATGTTGAAGGTTTCTATCAGATGGCACGCTTTATCAATTTAACAGATATGTTATTTAATGCTGTTTATTCTGTCATTTATCGTCTGCAGGCGGTGATTGAGAATGAAGGGTGCCACATTGAGCAAGGATTGTGACCTAATACAAGAGAGAAGGCAGTTACCTCATGTGTTGTATAAGCCGCCATGTATTATATTATCTATCAATATTTTGCAGCTCTTTGTGTTGGGATATGGGGATAATAAATGCTGTTCTCACATCTTGACTCTTTCTTTTGTGAACAGTAATATTTTGTTTGTCATTTGCTCACATATTATGTCGTGCAAACCAGAGTGTTATAACTTCTCGAATAACACTGGTACACACAACTTTACCCCTTATGTTTAGTTTTTCGCTCATTAGAAGAAATACATAGATAATAGATGATAGATAACATAGAAATACATACATAAGAAATACATGTAGCATAAGGAATATTTTCTGTACACCAATAACCTTAGAAATTTTGTGAAAAAAAATAATACAAAATGATTTTACTACCACGTTTTTCAACGCAAAAGGTCGATTTAAAATTTATTTTTATTTGAGGGGACACATTTTTAAAATTGTGTACAGTATAATAAACAATGATAACATTTGACAAGCCCATAGGATATTTGTAATAAAGTACGACAAATATATTTTGTCACTCCCCTCTATATTTCATTTGTTGGATCATGACAAATATCCAGTTAAATAGTCAAGGGTCGCCAATCAGTCAAGAAACTACACATTTCTTATAGCAAGAAATCCTATTAATAGTGCCATCATAATTTTTGGTACTATATTAACATTTCAAAAATTCGTGTATTGATATCAACAGTGTTTTTCAAACATTCAATCTATTTCACAAAACCTCATATAAAAATAAATATTTTTTGCTACATGTTTTAATTTGCATTTACCTATTTTACATATCTCTGATTGTATTTAAAATCGTTAAACAATTCTTCATACTTTTGGCGAAGTGGTGTTTTATTAATTTGTTATTTGATATTATTAGGGTTCTTTCCTGGTATTCAAAAAGGAAAAATACGTGTCGATCAGTTATATTTTTCAATTTATCAAACAATTTGGCCGCTGAATCTCTGATTCTGGTAGAGCGCCATCTGGCGAATAAAATTGTAACTAAAATCAATTTCGAATTTTACATTATTTGCCATAAAAAATCCCATTGCATCCTGAATACAATGGTGTTTACCGCATTGCTCTAGCGCAAATATTCGCGGAGTTATTAATTTTTAAAGTTGTGCGGGACTTTTGGATCACCCTGTAGATTCGACAACAGAAGGATATCTTTATGTGATATACATCAATCAAATAAATGTGCAAAAGGTTTCTTTATTCAATAAAAATGGCAAGCTTTCAAGTGTTAGCTTATCATCAAGCCAATTGTTTCACAAATTCCTACAGTATATTGTTGCACCAAGTTGCAGCTTTGCAAGGTCGTCAACTTTGGTTTCTTCCTTCTTGGTTTTATACACGTTTCCCGAGCGGGTTTCCATAGTCGAAGCAAATAAATAAAAGTAAATAAATAAAAGTAAATAAAAATAAATTACCTTTTAAAGTTATTGCGTTTATTTATTCGTTGTCTTCCTCGTAGGTCGTGATCCGCAGTCTTCGTCTAGGTCTTCTCTCTCTCCAATAACCAATCAGGATATATGTACAATAACAATATTACAAAAGGAATGAAACTATAAAAAGGAATGATGATAATCTAAATAATCTGTTTTAAATAAAAATAAATAGATATGTAATTTAAAAATTTTAAATATATTAAAAATAATATTATAAATAATATTAAAAATACGCGCATTAATCATGATGCAACAATATATAGAGGTGTAGGAGATTAATATTTAATATCTTTAAATAAATTCTTTTTATTCCAATATATTGTCACTGAATAATTATTGTAAATACTCTGTTGTTATTTTATCAATTAAAATATTTGTTTACGTCACTTACCTTTCTTGTAGATTATCACTTGTACAGTGTTTACCTTACAACTCTGAACACTCGGATTTTCCTGGAAAATCTCTTAAAGATTTCTTGAAAAAAAGCCATGGTCCACCTGTGCTGTGTGAGCACAGAAGAGCTTAAAGTGACTTGTTCCATTATATGTATATTCCATATGTAAATACTTGTTTTCTTTCCTCTTTGTGCTCTCCACTTCTCCCATCCATATTTCCGAAAAAATTTTTTTTTTTTCAAAATCCATATTCTTATTTTCTATAGGATTATTCAAATAATAATCTGTATATATTTACCATGTGTATATAATATTTCTCCATTTTTACCCCTTTGTATATTTCCCACTTTCATGGGTTTCTCCGTCTTGTAACCCCAAGGAGAATCCTCTGTAAGACCTGTGTGTCTTAAAAAAGGTTTGTGTGTGTGATTATCCCTTGTAAAATTATTATCACGTTTAGCATTCTATAGATTCTGTTAATAAATTATTTTTAACTTTTAGAATAGTTGTCTTCTCTATCTCTCCTCTTTTTATTCATATATTTAATATTAAATGTTCTCAATTCAATATTTAAATTTATATAACATTATATGAACGATTAATAAAAATAATTTCAAACTCAATCTCTCTCATTCCATCGATGGTGGAGTCTTCCCGCGGTGGGCGCCACCAATAACGACGACATTGTGTATTGTATATTTTCAATTATTTTATATATTTACTAGACGGGTGACCCGGGCTTCGCCCCGGGATTGACCCGTGTGCATATCTACCCGAGTGATATATATTTAGATAAGATTTTTTTTATAATTGTTTGTTATTAGCATTATCTATTTGTTTGAATCAGCATAATTTAATATAATCTTTGATAGAGGGCGCTGTTCGTGAGCTAAGTAGAATAATTTGAATATATAGTTTTAATAATTGATTTATATATTTTTTAAAATAGCCTATCGTCTTCCCCGTTTTTTTTTTTACCTATGTATGGAAATTTTGGTTTGAATTAGTGAACTACTGCGAATTTGTATACCGGACATACAAACAAACAAACATACAAACATTGATTTATATATATATATAGATGCTGAAAAAAGAGTAAGATAGGAGAATGAACTGATCAACTGAGGATTTTATTGAATGGTTACCATCCTTACACTAAGAGGTAAGAGAGCATAACAATACTAACTAACAAAAACATCTATTTATATACAATGTAACACACATTAGAGTAACAGGTCACTAGTCAATAACAATAATTCTTATATTTAGAAATCTGAGAGAATTGTCATTTCAACAATTTACATCTATTTAATCATATATTTATCATTATATGTATATAATAGATGATTTATCGCCCAATAAGCTTGTAAGACGTCCATGGCTCACCTGAAGCACGCGACCTGCTGTGTGTTTCATAACAAAAACCTTGTAAAAGATGGACGATTGGTCCATCGAAATATTGGATTATTAAAAAATCTTATTACAATCCAAAATAAGCCTTATTTTAAAAATATTTATCCTTATTTAATCTTATTTATTCTATATATTTATTTTGTATTTGACTTTATATAATTTTATATGGACATTGAAATAAAGAGAAGTTTCAATCTCAATCTCTCTCTCTTTCAGCTGTAACATTATTACTGATTATCTTAGTATTCAATAACACAGATATATGTACATTCCTCATTATAGTATACTAAACATGCTTTTGTATATCTTGTAGTCTACTTCATGTAGGAACTCTGCAAATATAGAGAGACGTGGTTATAGTTTACAACTGACAAAAGTCTATAATTCCTCAATATTTAGTCTTCGATGCTTATTATCATTTTTACTTAATTGCATACTGTTATATTACTTATTTATTATCAATTTTGACTTTTATTTTCGATTTTATTATTCAATTTTGAGATTTTCAAATGTTAATTCTTGAATTAAAATTAATTTGTGAAATAGGCCTTGAGGGACTCTCTTTGGAGCTCCTGTTGAATGAGGTGGTGAGAAACAGAGCTGGAGCTTTTGCGCTGTTCAAATTTTGGAAGACGGCTGAAGAGAAGGGGAGGGAATATACATAATCTAATTGATGTAAATAATTATATGCAAATAATCTTTGTCAGGATTAGAATGACGAATCCTGTATGGGACTTTGATTCCAGTAAAAGGCTTGTTGCTGCTGTTGTATATAGTCACAGTGTAGAAAATACTATACTATACCTACTACTTATAGGTTTCTCTCTGTATTCTTAGTTCTCTTCTCTTCAATTACTCTGTAAACTGGCGAATCCTTTATAGGACGAGAGGTCCTCAATAAAGGTTTTTGTTGTTGTTGTTTGTTGAATTAAAATTAAATTTTTAAAATGCATCGACACTCTATTCTCCAATTTCTCACGGCATTACTGTCATACCTTTCTAGAGTGATCGTTACTATTCGTTGACTTTTTTATTTCTTGATTCTATATCAACTACAAACGCTTCTTGGCTGTGGCCTTCCCAACAGACGAACTTAAGCAAATAGTTAGATTATTTTTATTCACTGTTCGAGCATCAACGCCCACTTTTATTTTTTTATTCTCACCTTCGGGAAGTTACTCCTTTTTTTCAATTTTTTATCTTTACCTTTATCACTGCGGCCCAGGGGGAAAATAGAGATAACCCGGTCTCCTGGAAATCGCCAACTACCCGGAAAAAAAATTCCCACGCCGGGAATCGAACCTGGGCCTTCTGGGTGAAAGCTAGATATCCTAGCCACTAGACCACGTGGGATACCATTTACACAGTTATTCCTCTTTTTAGGCGAAAAAACGATTCTATCTCTCTCTCTATTCATATATTTATCATTATATAATCTTATTTATTCATATTTATATTTATTCTGTATTTAAACATATATAATCTTACGATGTACTAGAGCGCCATCTGTTATCAAATTATAAAACTATTTTAGAGGCGTAATATTCTTTTTTTTAAATAAAACAATTTCTACTGTCCTTACTGCGATGGAAAATTAATATATAATCTTATATGAACATTGTGATAAAGAAGATTCGAAGATTCAATCTCAATATCTCTCTCCCAATCTATTCACCAAGGTTTCCATTTCCCGTCTGATAGAATGTCCCATATAGAATACCTTCAATGTACTGTATATGTCTCAATGCCTACAATCGCATAACGTCGCATTGCATCGCAGCACCAGAAACAGTCTATCATGTGTTCACACATCCATACTTCCCAATTAGTTCACCGCACAAGTCAATTAACTTTCTAATATTCATTGAAACATTCAATTCTATAAAACAATCCCTTGAATGGGGGGGGGGGGGGGAGAAGTCCGACCACACCTCCCTGCGGTCTCCCCTGGACCCTTGGAATATTCGACCAAATTCTGGTTTGTTTCCAAGATGACTAACGTGGCAACGGCACCTATTTTCCAATGAAGAGCAAGATAGTGGATATTGCTGCTGCTGTGATGGAGATGTATGGAGACATCTGAGACTCTTCTTTGGACACGACAACAACAATAATCCCTTGAATCAATATTAAAACCAGAACATTAAATCTCCAGGGAAAAGTTTCTTTTAAAAATATTTTTTCATTTAAAAATCTCTCAAGCACTCTGGCAAGAAAGCCCTTCTACGGGAGAAAATATTTTACATTATTAAAACACCACTAAAACAAGATTTAAAATTAAAATAAAGTGCTTTTGTTGTTTACATTTCTGCATTGAAACAAATGTAAACAACAAAAGCACTTTATTTTTATTTTAAATCTTCTTTTATTGGCGTTTTAATGATGCAAGATATTTCGGGAGAAGGGCTTACTTGCTCAAAAGCTTGAGAGATTTTTAAATGAAAAAATATTTTTAAAAGAAACTTTTCCCTGGATGCTTAACAATTAATGCTGTATATAATACAATATAATGAGGATTATGATTGTAAAACGACGTTTACCGGAACTAATTTTTCCGTTTATCATTACTCTTCATAATTCATCCTTTCATACTTCATCCTTGATATTAGAAATAACCGTTATTTCTCCTTAAAATAAATTTAGATTTTTCTTTCAAAAGAAACATTTACGGGATAACTTACTGTACTGTATATATTTACCCAAACTCATCTTTATATTTTACATTGGGAGTTTAACACTATAACTAATTATAATTTTATATAAAAGGGCGTACCTGAACTTGTAAAGAAAAAAAAAAGGTTTTTTCAAAATATTTCGAGAGATTGCACCCTCTTTATTTGTTTTTTTATTGATTATTTATTGGGGAAGAGAAGTCCGACCACACCAGTCCACCCTGGACCCTTGGAATATTTGACCAAATTCTGGTCGTTTCCAAGGTGACTAACGTGGCAACGGCATCCATTTTCCAATGAAGAGCAGATAGTGGATATTGCTGCTGCTGTGATAGAGATGCATGGAGACATCTAAGACTCTTCTTTAGACACGACAACAACAACAACATTGATTATTTATTATTTTTTCAAATTGAGAGAGAGAGAGAGAGAGAGAGAGAGAGAGAGAGAGAGAACGCTTCACGATTTTGCGTGTCATCCTTGCGCAGGGGCCATGCTAATCTTCTCTGTATCGTTCCAATTTTAGTATATGTACCGCCGAGAGAGAGAGAGATAAAGAGGGAGCAATCTCTCGAAATATTTTGATTTTTTTTTTCTTTCTTTACAGATCCAGGTACGTCCTATTATATAAACTTAATTGATGGATCGTCTTTTGATTCAAATTATAATTTGTCAACACTCCTTTTTATTATTAATTATTATAAATTATAGTATAAAACATAACCAATATTATTATTCTATTCCTGTTTATTTCATCATATAGTCATAACCATAATTATAAAATAATTTGAATACAAATCAATTTTCCCATTGTAATTACCTTATACTTTCATCTTCACTTCACCATACACTAATTGCATCACTCGGTTCATAAAATATAGTAATAAATGTCAATATATAACTTAGATATTCGTATTAATGAAAATTGTAACAGTTCAAAATGTAGATAAACTTGTACGCGCCAGCTTAGCGATCATGTAATCTCAAATATTGTCAGGAGGACAGAGTTTCCTGGTATTCCCTCTTATCTGGACTGACCGGTCGGGGTAAACAGTGGCGCCACGTGGAAGGTAGTAATAACTCAGTTCTACCCTCTTGCTCTAACGCATATAAAAATAACAAAATATATAAAAAGGAAATGCCAAACTACTTTTTTTTTCAGGAGGAGACAACAATTTATTTCAGGCAAGGACAAACTATGAATGGTAAACAAAAGATAAGCCACGAGGGAAATTTACAGAGTAACAAAATATAAACATAAAAATTGCCACTCTGTTAATAAAAATAATAAAATGAATAAATACTTTGTTGCAATATGATAATAATGTAGTTTCTACAAAGATACAAGATATGAGCAACCTAGGCAAGGTGAAGTCCAGTTTAGGTAATCATTATCGAGATTATATCAGACAGAATGGAAATTTCCTAAATTATCACGTGGACCCTTTCCGGGTATCTTCTACAAGTCATTAGTGAGTTTTACGACCGCCGCTTGACGACAGACATCAGACCCTCCTGGACCTTGCCTGTCTGACCTCTCTTAATTGCTATTCAACCTACTTGTCTTTTGTGTAGAAACCCTAGACGCTGAAACCACTGGGCCCCATGACTGCTATTTCTTGTGGTATAACATATATATATATATGTATATATATATATATATATATATATATATGTTGTGGACACACTTTAAAAATGTTATAACACCTTGATAAAGGTTGGCGTTTAGCCAACTGAAATATTGGTAAAATAAATGATATTTTGATCCAATATATGCCTTTTTATTTAAATATATATATTGATATTTAAAAATATATACGGAAAAAGGAAGTATATATAATACTTAAATAAGATTTCCATTTTTATAAATATAAAGATATTTGTTATATATATATGTCGTAAACCCGGGTAAGTCAACAAGTGAGTTGGAAGCAGTCGGGGTTGAGTGGCAAGGCGTGCAGAGTGGGAAGTCCGCACGGGACAGTAAGGACAAAGTTTGGGATCAAAAGACGTTCTTATAATACGTCTCACGTGGCACCAGGACCAGGGGGAAGTTGAGGATTAACTGAGGAAAGCTCGACGTCCTGCATGAAACCGCGGAGGCAGAGAGGAGCCAAAACGGCGGCCACGAGGACCGCCGTGAGATGACAACTCAACTCGACTGCACGGGCCTCTCCGAAAATATCCACTGTAACCTAACTAACTGTCAACATCCGGACCAACGCCCTTTTTGTCCCTCTCTGGATCCCCCGGGTGTCCAGTGGCAAGCTGGTGTCACTTTGAGACGACTAGAAAAGACGTCATACTTTATTACTTACATATTACATTGTTTAAATTACGATATATATATATTCGATTAAAATAATCCCTTGATATATGCGTATGTTACGATATATGTAAATTAGTATTTTTTTGAAAGGTTTATTATTAGGTGCAGTCGTTTGGTAAAAAAAAATGAAAATATTTATTTATGAAGTAGTTTATTTTTACCTCTTGATTAAAATACACAATATCTGACAGTTGATATATAATTGGTTAGGTTTAACCTATTTACATATATTTACATTGTTTTCAAGAACTATAAAAGAAAAACATTGATTTGAATGAAGACAATGGCGTTGTAGAAATAATGGTCAAAATAAGTTTATAATAAATAATTATAAAATATAAATTTATTTTAAAAAGCATATACACCTATCCCCCGATTTAAACGGTAGATACGTTCCTGAGAAAACGTGTAAATCAGGGGATAGGTGTACACAGAAATAAAAATAAAATGCATTGACAGGTTAAATATGTAGTCAGCACATAAGCTCGGGATTCCTTGTGAGATGTGTACACAGCGCATGTGTTCAATCACAGTAGCATTTAGTATAGTGCGATAGAAACAAAAAAACAAAAAAAACTTATTTGGAAAACCGTGTAAAAGCGAAAACGTGTAAAACAAGTACCGTGTAAATCGGGTGATAGGTGTATATGTTATGAATATTTTGTTTTGTTGTTGAAAAAGATAGAGAATTGAAGGTACAGTCGAGAAAAAAGATAGTTATTTACCTTTCAAGTAGTTTTTATTTTGAATTACTTGAAGTAAAATTACACATACAATTATTTTTAACAGTAATATAGAATTTATGAAATGAATTCTCTATATTCGTGATTTAAGAAAAGGGTAAGTTAGTTTTAACTATACATATTGTTACATCATGATTAATGGCGTATTTATTATATTAGTTTTAATATATTTGAAATTTAAATTATATATTTATTTATTTTTATATAAAATATTCTATGATATTTATTTAAAACAGATTATTTAGATTATCATCATTTGTATTTAGGTACACGTGTGACTTCACTGCTCTCTTTGATGTGAGAAAAAAAAATTATTCTGGAGGCTACTTGAAGTATACTTATCTCATTATTCCCTTATATAAATTTGTAGGATGGTTGAAACACGCTCTGGTAAGATGCAAGACCCAGCACAGGAGAGAATCGTGGCTGAAGAGTCTGCCAAGCCGCAACCTGGTGCAACAATTGGTGGAGATGCTAGTTCCGACCCAGTTGTCCTGAATCCCAACATCGACATCCCCAAGTATGATGGAACGGAAGACCCTCGCCCATGGATTGAATCTCTTGAAGAAATTGGCTTCCTGTACCATTGGGCAGACTACATTATCTCTCGTTATGCTGCCATGAATATGATTGGTAGCGCCAAAACCTGGCTGAACCTACACAAGATAAGTTTCACCAGCTGGGAAAATTTCAAGAGCCGCCTAATTGAGGATTTTGCCTCAGACGCCAACAAAGAAGAAATGAAGATGAGACTGAACAGGATGCAACAGTGGAATGAACCTGCAATCAGGTTCGCAGAGGATATCCTTGTACTGTGCAACAAGGTCGACCCCCAAATGGAAGAAGAGACTAAAATAAACTGGGTTATTGGAGGGTTAAAGAAAGAATACTCTTTTGCCCTTCACCTAAACCCTCCTAAAAATACCAATGAACTTCTAGAA